GGGCACCAGGGTTGGGCAGTGTGTGACCTGGCCTGACCCAGCTTTCCCCAGAGGAGGCAGCGCTGAGGGTGGCCTTTCCCATCCCCGAGGCTCCAACGGAGCCTGTTCTCTCTCAACACCCTTGGAAAAAACAAGGCTTTTTCCGCTGTTGTTTTTTGAGGTGTGTTCATTCTGCCCCAATCTGTTTCACCTTAAAGGGATCATTACCTGCCCAAAGTATGGAAGTGTCAGCATTCTTGGAGTGGGGTGCAAAGGGGACAGAGAGGCAGCTCTGAGAAGCACCCCGGGGGATGCCTTAGGTGCCGGTGGCATGGGGGTGCTAACACAACACAGCCTTTGATCTGACCCCCTTCAGCGGGGCTCTGGGAAGATGTGACTTTGCCCCTCCCTCCCTTTGCCACCCCACCCCTAGCCTTAAGGTAGTCTTTATCCTTACTGTCCCTAGGCAACTCTGGGGCTTATGATCACTGAATCTGGGGGAGCTCAATGTGGATCCCTGGGGGTCATCTCTGGGCTGCTCCCACAGACACCCCAGGGGGCATTTCATACAGTGCCGCCTCCACCCCCAAACGCCTGGGAAGGCAGGGGATGCTTGAATCCCCAGGGTGCGCAGCCTGCTGTGTCGGTGCCCCCTGCGTGCCCATTTCTGCCTCCAGCTTAGTTATCTGTAAGCCTGCCTCACCCCTGCACGCTCCTCCGCTCTCAGCAGCATGTGCGCACCTTGCACACACCTTTGCTTTCCCTATTGCACACCTGGTGGCAGGGCTGACACAAAAGAGGTAGGTGCTCAATACGTAAGCAATGAACTAAACTGCTTGGGAAGTTCCTGGCGATCAAATAAGAGCCGAGGCTCTGTCTGGAAAAGAAGAGATTGAGCAAAGGGTAGCCATGCCCACCACCTTCCCCAGGGGAAACGGGGGACCATTTCCTCCCCAAATAGCCCAGGGCCGCCTGTCTCTCTGCGACTGTCTGCACGACACTGCCCTCCGCTGGACGCTGGGCCGAAGCTGCCCCAGACCCTCTCCAGGTCAGAATGCCCTGAGGTTTCCTCCCCTCCCCACGCTGGACACAACTACTGTGCAAACCGGTTTCTCCGCCGGCTACTCTTACCAGGTTTGTTTCGCCCTGACTGCTCAGCATTGAATCCATGAAACCTGGGAAGGGACCAGAGGAACAGGGCTTCTTTGACTCCTGGCACACAGTGGGCTCCCTCAATACTTAACGCATGCAAACGTTCCTGGCATGCCAACTGTGGGTATGATTCCAATTATTAATATAATATTAAGAACCCACGCTCATTCTGAGTCTAGGACAGCTATGGCATTGACAGTTTTTAGAAGACAATTGAGGACGACGAAATGGGACAAGAAGCTTCAAGCAGAATTCAAAAACAATAGGTCATTTTTCTCTATCTTAACAACAACAACAAAACCTTCCTCCTTGGGGAAAAGATAGGGGAGAGGGGAAAGAAACAAGGGCACTGCCAAGCCCTGTGGATGACACTGCTCTCTTCCTCACTGTGACAGGTCTTCTGTCTCCAATGGCAGGTATTTGTGAATTTGCCTCGTTAGCTTGTAAGCACTCACCCCACACAGTGACCCGCCCACAGTAGGTGTGCAGTACATAGTTATTGAATTCCTGGAAGTCAAATAGAGAATATGAGTGGCTAATACTTTGCCAACGGCAATACTAAAATAAGTAAAAGCGAAGGCATCACGCTCAGTGCTTACAAATTGCTTCAACTTGCTGAGAAATTGTTTTCGACTCCCAGAATTGATCTCTGGGGTGAGCCCAGGGCCAGGCAGGTGTTTGGCTGTATGAATCTGGAGCTCTGGGAGGAACATTGGGCTAAGCAGAAACCTAGGACTCGTACCCCATGGCGGTGGAAGTGAGAACCCAGGAAGGGCTGTAGAGGGTGAAATCAAAGTCTGAGCCCTCAGGAGCCAACCCTGAAGGACCAGGGGGTGCAGAGGAGGCCGGGACAGAGCCAGAGCAGGAAAAGCCAGAGATGAGAGGAAGTAAAAGAATGGGACCAGAAAAGCCAAGGGCCTGGGAAGTGTTAAGGACAAAGGAGTGGCCAGTGGCCTCAAATGCAGTTGAATAGTCAAGAAAGGATTGAGAGCTGGCTGATGGGTTGAGCACTACAAAGGTCCACGGTGACCTGTGAGAGCAACTGGTGGCCTCAGTGAAAGGAGCTGCAGTTGGGGGACTGGAGGGTAGATAGAGTGGAAGACACCATGGTGGGAATGGGATTGGATGGCAAGGACACGAAGACAACCACAGAGGCAATGGACACTGGGAAAAGAACAGGTGACCTTACACCGGCGCTCTGTCCACTAATCCAGCTCCCATACTGCCACTAGTTACATTTTCTAAAAATTAAAATGAATCCTACCACTTCCTGTTGTGATTAACATTGCCGGCTTGCCACCTGCTAGACAGGGGAGAGCAAAGTCCGGTGCCAAGCTGTTTAGCATAATTGACTTCTCAGGCTTGGATTTTTTCATCACCTATAAAGGAGAGCTGGCACAGGTCCATATTCCCTTATCCAAAATCCTGGGGCCACATGTGTTTGTTTGTTTGTTTAACTAATTTTTTTAGAGACAGGGGAAAGGAGAGAGAGAGAGAAATATTGACATATGAGAGAAACATTGATCGGTTGCCTCCCCCACATACCCCCACTGGGGATTGAACCCACAACCTAGGTATGTGCCCTGACCAGGAATTGAACCGGCAACCTTTCGGTTCAAGGGACAACGCTCCAACCAGGTGAGCTATACCAGCCAGGGCTTGGCCACATATGTTTGGGAATTCACAGCTTGTTGGAATCCCAGAAAGGTAATGTGGTGCCAAATATTACAGAGACCAAGCTCCACCCTATAATCACACACACCGAGTAGGACAAATGAAGACTATAATCAACCTCGCCAGAGGTCAGGTGAAGCCTTCCACCAAAGATACTTAGGTTTTTCAGAGCATTTCAGGTTTTTGGAATTGTCTTCCCCAGCCTCCCCCTGAACCTGTTCTTCTTTTTTCCCTGTATCAATGACCACCACCTCCACTGGCCGAAGAGTCATTCTCGACTCTCCTTGCCTGAATCCCCAACACCCAATCATTCACCTAGTAAATCTCAAATCTGTAGCCTCCTCCCAGTTCCTAAGCTAATGCCTTATTTCAGACCCGTGGTCTCTTATGCCGGTATCACTGCAAGAACATTGTGAGAGGTCTCCCTGTTGCTGCCAGGAGCCTTATAACATGCAAATCTGCTTAAAGCCCTCAGTGGACAGGATAAACTAATCTACAGTAGCAGAAAGCAGATTAGTGATTGTTTGGGGCCTGGGTAGGGGTGGGGAGATCGAATATAAAGAAGCATTAGGGAATATTTTGGAGATGAAGAAATATTCTGTATTTCGATTGTGGTATTGGGCATATGGTTATATACCCAGTGGATACATTTGTCAAAATGCATCAAACTGGGCATTTAAGATGAAAACGTTTTATTGTATGTAAAATAGGCCTCAATAAACTTAATTAAAGAATGATACCCTTCCATGTCTCCCCATTCATTGCCTGCAGGACAAAGCTGAAATTACTTATCCTGGCATAAGTGATGATACGACTTCTTTCCTAAACGCCTGTCACATCAAGTACACAGCAGACCGAAAATGAGCCCAGATCGCCTCCCCTCCTTTCCCACCTGTTGACCATACGCCGTGTTTATGGAGATTCAGCTTGTGTTATCACGATTAGCACCCCCCAGGCCCGCAAGTGATGGTTCTTGTGCTCCACTGACCCGATATAAATGATATAAAGTTTTCAGTTGCGGGTGACCACATGATGCAATATACAGATGATGGATTATGGAATTGTACACTTGAAACCTGTATAATTTTATTAACCAATGTCACCCCAATCAATGCAATTAAAAAAAAGTTTTCGGTTGCCCTCTCGTGTTTATGTCTCCCCCCTCCTTTCCTAGGCTGTGGGTGTGACAGCTGGACCCTGTCGTCTCCGCTCTCGTCTCTGCAGCGCCTGTCACGGAACCGCTCAATCTCTGTTACCATTGAAGTCCAGCCTACAGGGCGGCGGGGCAGACGCTCCTCCAGCCCTCCAGGGGGCGCTGTGGGGGAAGCCACCTGTCTCCCTGCTCTCGACTTCTCTGGGCCAGCTCCTAGAGCCACGGGCTCGGGGCTCCGCCCCCTGGCAACAACCTTAGTTCCCATTGGGCAAGGGCGGCTCAGGCCGTCCAATGAAGCGAGGCGTTGGTGCGAGGCGGCGCCCCCGTCTTTGGTAGGCCGGGTCCCGGGATCGGTCGGAGGCGGTGGGACGTAGGCGGGTAGGTGGGCCGGGTGGCGCCGCCTCGGGTCCCGGCCTCGCCTGCCTCTCCGGTTCCGCTGCGGGCGCACGATGCCGCAGTACCAGACCTGGGAGGAGTTCAGCCGCGCGGCTGAGAAACTCTACCTCGCCGACCCTATGAAGGTAAATGGCTGCCGGGGCCGGGGCCGGGGCCGGGGCCTGGGCCTGTTTCCCCGGCCCCAGGTCAAGATGTCTCCCCGGCGGTCCGCTCGGCCGCCGGAGCTTCCTCGGCACCCTGGGAGGTGGTGGGGTTGAGCAGAGACGGACCCCGCCAAGCCCCATTGTTCCTCCTGCCTCCTTTCTGCTAAGCGGCCCCGTGAGGCCTTGATATGGGTAAAAGTCGGGACCATTTCAGGGCCCGGAGCAGCGCTACCGTCGGCCTTTCCCCGCCCCCGACCCCGAGGTCCCCGTAGGAGTTTGGTCGGTTTACGTGTCTCTAAGGGCAGGGCCCCGCCCCCCGCAGCTTCGCCTTCCTGTCCCTCGCCCTGCTGCCCTTTCCTGTACCGCCGGGGCGTCGGGGTACCTCGTGTAAATAAAGCAGTCATTATGTTTTGCCGCCCCCAAACCCCCATTTAGAGGCATCTACACCCCTTAGAATAGTGGGTCTTAATCCGTTAAGAGATCAGTGCCCGTTTGAGAATGTGAGAGTGGTTGCACCCTTTTCTCGGCAAAATGCGCTTAAACATAGAGGCTTCCAAACAGTTTTAGGAAGCTTGTGGATTCATTCAAGGACCCCCAGAGAAATTGTTGTAAGTGGATGTCAGAGGTTATATCATTATGAAAAAGCTAAGATTTATTTTATTGTCATATCTAAAAATTACTTGAAAAACACCTCCTTGTTGACTAAAACTCCTGCCAGCTTTTTTAAACCTTGATAGGTAAGAGGAAGTTGTAGAATATTGTGTTTTGTTCATACAATAAAGTTAATATAATAATATTAAGTGATGAAATGAATTAGATGTTTTTCAGATTGAGTACTTTGTGACATGACTTCTGGCTCCTCTGTTTGGATGTCTTTTTGAGTGTGTCTAGTAGCCCTTTTTGTTTAGTACAGTTGGTTATGCAGATAAGAACCCTTCGTGGTAAAGGAGAGGAGAACAGTTATGTCACCTTTACAGAGGTTAATTTGTGTCCTGCTTTTAGCCAGAAAGGGAACAGCCCTAATTGCCTTCAGCTCAAAACAGTCCTTATCCCAAAAGGGCTTATTTTGAGGTGACATGCTTTGATCCCCTTCAGTATATGTTTGTATTAGCTGGAAATGCCAAACCACCTTAAGTCTCAAAAAAAAAAAAAAAATTTGTAGCAATAGGAATGGAGTAAAATGCTGTATTCTACCTCATTTCAATAATAAGTTTACAGTAAAGGTGACTTTGGACATTTTGGCTATTAATTCTGACAGGAACGTTTTAGCCAACCTGAAGACTAAATTATTTATGAGAAATATCTTCTGACTTCACTGTTTCTAAATATGTATTTTTGTTTTCAGGCACGTGTGGTTCTCAAATATAGGCATTCTGATGGGAGTTTGTGTATGAAAGTAACAGATGACTTAGTTGTAAGTATACATTTTGTTGTGTGTGCATACTTTCAGATTTAATAATTTGTTTAAAATTACTTACATTGCAGATTACCCGTTAGGATTTTTATTTTGCATTTCATTCCAAAGTCAAGCACCACATTCAAGACACTACATTTATAGGCTCTTGGGGAATTAATTTAACTTGCTTTATTAAGACAGTATGTCAGGTGTAGTTTAATAATTGCTCTCTTCAGACCTTAATCAAGAGGTATGCAGAGGCCAAAACTGGATATAAGGGGATAAAGATTTTCTTATAGGCATGTGAGAGGTAAATGATGGTATTGGAACACAAGATACAGGTTTTGTAGTTACATCTTTCCTTTCCTGTTTGCTCACTCATGTCACTTCCTCACATTCCATTCACTCCTTAACCCTCTGCCACCTGCTTTCTACATGCTGTGTTCCCCCAAAACTGCTCTTGGTGCGAGCTCAGCAGCAGCTCCTTAATTTTCAAACCCAGCAGTCTCATCAGTTCTTACCTTACGTGACCTCCTTGCTGCTTTTGATACAAAAAACCACTCTGTTGTGGAAATAATTATTTTGGCATCTGTGGCTCCATTTTGTCTTGTTTTCTTTAATATGTTTCTGTTTCATTCTTTGCTAATTTCTCTACTGAAGTGCCCCGAGAAATATGGATTCTCCAGAATTCTGTCCTTGGTGGTCTTTTTAAACCCCTTGTGTAATCTGTTCAGTTATTAAGTCCAATACTGCCTGTATCTATGTCTATTTTCAAATTTGTACATTTAGCTCATATTTTTTCTGACTTCCTGACTAGCTCTAAGTTGAGTATCCTAACCTCAATACTCCTCAAAATTTGCCTGTCTCGAATGGAAGTCATCATCTCTTCTCAAACTGGCTGTGGTCCCTTCTCTCCCTCATTCTCATGTCCACTGTTGCTTCATTTGAAAAACCAGTATTTGATCTTCTGGTAAGTCCCGTACACTTTTCTAGGCATTTGGGGATTACCGATTCCAGCTCCCTCATTCATATTCTGTCATGAACACTCCGTCTTCACCGTTACTCTCTCAAGTTTAGGATCTCGCCTGGACTATTAGAATAGTCTCCTGACTGTGTACCTGCTTCCAGTTCATCCTTCAATGCAAACTGGATTGTTACCCTCCTCAAAAACCTTCAGTGGCTCATCACTCAACGTAAACTCTGCCCTCACATCCCCTCTAACCTCTGTCTTTTCTATATTACTTAAAGGCTCAAGACATGAGTCTTTTCATCAGACCACAGCAGGATTTAACATATTACTTAACTGATCATTTTTGAGAAGCTTCTGATAGAGTTCCTTCAGTGTTTTTATCCACAGCAGTGATAAATTTAAGGAATGTAATTGATGGAGGCCTGGGAACTTGAGAGTAATTTTCTTAGAATGACCTCCAGAGAGAGTAGAGCAAAACAGTGGTAGCAAAGGCTCAGATTTTTACCCAGTCATACTTCTGGCACATTGTTAACCTACTTGTACATAGTTAATGTGTTCTTATAAAATTTCTGACAGTGTTTGGTGTATAGAACAGACCAAGCTCAGGATGTAAAGAAGATTGAGAAATTCCACAGTCAACTGATGCGACTTATGGTAGCCAAGGAATCCCGCACTGTTGCCATGGAAACGGACTGAATGGTTTGAAATGACTCTTTGCCCAGTTCTTAGGAAGTAAATAACTTGAATTTGAGGAAGTGTTGGAACAGAAAAAACTTAATGTAACTAAGTAGGCTATTCAGAAGCTGAGAGATCATTTTTTATTTTGTTTCTTAATGTTTACTTTAGAGAGCTAGGAATGTAAATGCTTTCAGTTAGAATGCCTTTATTTATTTTTGGAAATGGAACAAGAAATGAGTCTATCTTGGGAACTTTCTACAGATTATTTGATGCTGGGAAAAATATACATTTCTTTTGGTAAGTTTATATCAATAATTTGAAAATGCAGTATCAAGAAAAGCTTATTCTTCCTTAAGTTTAGTTTGTCTTTCAAAGAAATTAAATGTAACCATTTTGCTGGATTGCTAGATTTCTTTTGGGACATGACATTTGTGCAGTTGACCAATAAATATAAAATATGGTAACTAGAATTAACTATGTACAGTAGTATAGTCTCAATTATATCTAAAAGTAATTATGAAAACAAGTATGCTTTATCTTGAACTTTCCAAATTTAAACTATATTTTTGAATATAAGGGATTCATAGTATTACTAGCTTGTTGAGCAGACTTTGAATCTAGTTTTCAGTGGTCAAAACACATGAACAGAATGACCACTGATCGCCTGAAGCCACCATGTTACAGGACATTTCTCACATATTTCCCATGTAGAGTTTCTCAGAAGAGCTAAGGATTATGTGAACTGTTAAATCTTTGCATACCTCTTTGACACCCCTGCCCATATCTCTCTTTATTTAACCAAGGTGTTAAGTGTGACTATCACAACTGTTGTTTCCATTAAACCAGAAAAATGATATTATTTGATATTTATCTTGTATTTGTAACCTGAATTTTACCACCTAATGTAATGTTCACATGTTGATTCCTACATTAAAATATTTGTTAGGAATTTGTCGTGTTGAGCAGCATTTTAATATGGAAAGTTCCATTAGCCATATGAATTTTGAGATGTTTCAGAGATCAGTAAATAAAATATTACATGAATATATATTGTTTCTCTTAAAGTTTTTAACTTCACAAGAATTACTGATTTCTTGACTGGCATATACTGTATTCATATATTCTAAAGTGAGCCTAATGATACTGTAAATAAATTTTGTTTCTTAGCACTTTACATTTCTCTGAGCTGTATGTTGATGACAAGGTTCTTTTCTTGATTAAGGAAAGTAATCGAATTAAGGAAGTAAGTGTAGGGTTTTTGAGTTTGTGGTTCCCCTCCCCCCAATTAGTGATATCACGAGGCTTTTTTGGCCTTTTTCTTTCTCATTTACATCTTCTACTTTCTAACACTCCTTTACAAAGGTAGTCAGGAAGGGAGGGACTATACTTGGGCTCTTTGAGTCCTTTGTAGTTGACAGCAGCTTAGTTAAGAGCAAAGGTTCCGAGGCAGACTGCCTGGGTTGCAGTTTTGTCTCCATTACCCCCTACTTCTGTGGCCTTAAACAAGATCCTTCTGTAAGCCTCCATTTTCTTCTGTAAATTGAGTTAACAGTAGTACTCATAGGACTTCAAGAGGATTAAATGGCATAATCCATGTTAAACCTTTAGCACAGTGCCTGAAACACAGTAAGCTCAATCAGCGGTAGCTATTATTATATTATGATTGTTTTTCAAGGGAAAGGGTGTAAGTCGCCAGCTCTTAAGATTTCTGATCATTTTAATTGAACGATTATTTATTGGTAATGTCTGCCTATTTTGCCAAGCTATATCTATCATTAAATGCCATTTTTTGCAGTTGGGAAATATAAGATTGCCCTCATAGAGTGTTCTTGTGGGGGCTAGGGGGGATTAAAATCCTTAAATCTAAAACTTGTGTTCATTTATATTTATGTCTGTACAAAATAAAGTTATTGGGAGAACTAGGTGGTGGTAAGTGGTAAAAGTATTGACTCTCTTTAAGACCATATCAATAATAAAACACCAAATTATAATATATTCTGAAAATCACAGTGCTGTATACTTCAATTTTTAAATCAAAGTATTTCTGGGCACTGTAATCACACTTTTATGCATTAGTTTTTAGCAAACTGTTTTCTGATATATTTGATCAAACGCTGCTGACTCTTAGGTAATCCAGATGAAGTCACTAGTAATGAGATTCTAGGTACAGTTCAAATCATTTCATTTTGTTTTTTTCTTCTCAATATCCATTCTCCTTGGAGCACAGAACCCATGAGACATTGCTGTTCTCTGTTGTAAAAGGGTTGGCTTCCCTCTTTCAGGTACCTAGCCTGTGAACTTTTTGTCTTAAAAATAAAAACTCTAAAGTCTGACATACTGACATACCTTCAAAAATAAGTAAAAACTCAGTCATAGACCAACAACTTGTACCATAACATAAAGAATTCTCAGAACTCAATAAGAAAACAACCCCACGCCTTAGCTGGTATGGTTCAGTTGGTTTGAGCTGTCCCATGCACCAAAAGGTGGCAGGTTCGATTGCCTAGGTGGCCGGTTCAATCCCTGGTTGGGGCGCCTACGGGAGGCAACCCATTGATGTGTCTTTCTCTTATCCTCTTTCTCAAATCAATAAAAGAGAAAAACAACCCCTCTCCCCCAAAAGCCCACAAAAGACTTAAAGAGACGCTTCACTAAAGATACACAGATGGCATGTAAGCACATAAAATGATACTTGACATCAATTAAGGGAATGTGAATTAAAATCACAAGACACCCCCATGCACATATTAGAGAATCAAAATTAAAAAGACTGACCATCCCAAGTGCTGGCAAGGACATGGAGCAACCAGAACTCATACACTGCTGTTGGGAATGTTAGTACAACCACTTTGGAAAATGCAGTTTCTTTAAAAGTTTCGCATATATCTACCATCCATACAAAGACTTGTACATAAATGTTCATAGTAGCCGTCTTCGTGGATAGCCAAAAACCAGAAACCACCCAAAAGTCCAAAAGGTTTTTGGATAAATAAATTGTAGATGTCCACAGATAGCAATACTACTCATCAATGAAAGGAATGAATTATCGATAACATGACAAGATGGATGAATCTCAATTATGCTGAATAAAAGAAGCCAGACATAAAACCATTTCAGACTCGATGTTCCATTGCTACTTAAATACTTCAATGTGTATTTTTTAAAATCAAGGATATTCATTTAGGAAAATTTAAAATCTCAAAATCAAAATATTAAAAATTAATATTACTATTATTTAATCTACAGACCTTCAAAGGTCCTCAATAGTCCCAGTAACATTCTTTATAGAAACTTTCTGGTCCAACCTAGTCTACAGTAGAACATTGCAATTCATTTTCATGACTCATGCCTTGTCTTGCCTGACACATGTTTTTTGACCTTGACATTTTTGAAGAGTAGAGGCCAGTTATTTTGCAGAATGTTACTTATTTTAGGGTTTGTTGGATGCTTCCTCATGATTGACTCATACATTTTGGGCATAAAGAATGTTATTTCCTTCCCAGTGAATCAGGATTTAATCTAGTTTTTATCCAAAGTTGTCCCCCTCACACTTTATTTTTCATTCTACCTCATGTACCTGGAAACTCTCCAGAAGTTTGTATGGAGGAACAGCCTTTGTTCTGATATTTAAAATACATTCTAGAGAACACATTAAGGGCTTTTAAAAAAAATACATTGATTTCAGAAAGAGGAAGGGAGAGAGAAGAACACCAATGATGAGTCATTGATCAGCTGCCTCCTGCACGCCCCCTGCTGGGGATGGAGCCCGAAACCCGGGCATGTCCCTGACTGGGAACCGTGATCTGGATCCTAGGTCGGTGCTCAGCCGCTGAGCCGCGCAGGCCTGGCACCAACAGCCTCCGACCCAGAGCGGTAGAATCTGTCTAAATTTTGCCCTGTTGAGTTGGGCTCTGCAGCTTATTTACTTACCCACTGCATATATGTAGATTGTACTTTGAAATATCTTAGTGTCTTAGATTTCATATTCTTAGGAGGCGGTTACAATCTCACCACAGTTATTTTACATGGCAATAACAGCTTTATTGAGATGCAATTTACATACTATCAACTTCACCCTTTTGAAGTGTCCCGTTGGGCCGCCGGGCGTGGCTCAGTGGTTGAGCTCGGACTCGGGAACCAGGTCACCTTCGAGTCCCGGTCAGGGCCCGTGCCCGGGTTGCGGGCTCGATCCCCAGCAGGGGGCGTGCAGGAGGCAGCCCACAAATGACTCATCGCCGGTGTTTCTCTCTCTCCCTCTCCCTCTCTGAAATCAATAACATTTTAGAAGAAAAAACAGTGTACAGTTAAGTAGTTTTTCAGCGTACTCAGAGCGGCGATGCAGCCTCCACCGTTACTGAAATTGAGAATAGAAGGCGCTGCCTCAAACTGCTGGAAGAGTCCCCTAGACCCGTCGGCGCCAGCACTTGGAGCAGCCCCGCTGCAAAGTGGAGGCGGAGCCTTCGGGAGGCCCTGACTGTCCCGGGTCCCCTCGGTAACGTGAGCGGGGCGGGACCGGACCCTGACATCCCTCCTACCCCGGGCCCAGCCGGGAACGCCCCCGGGGGAGGGGGGCGAGCCTGGGCGGGGTCAGCGCCGCGGCTCCCGGGACCAGCTGAGCGGGAGTCGGGGAACCGGGACCGTGTGCGCATCCCCGCAGGAGCCCAGGAGCCGGGGAACCGACGACCGTAAGCGCCCGGAGCGCGTGGTGCGCAGCTTCGCGGGGCGCGCTCTC